GCAGGCAGGCAGGCAGGCAGACAAGAGCTGAGAGGTGAGAGTGAGAGTGAGTGAGAGTGGGAGTGGGCGTGAGCATGAGCGCGAGCGGTAGCGTGAGCGGTAGCGTGAGCGGTAGCGTGAGCGGTGGCGTGAGCGGTAGCGCAAGGGTGAGCGCGAGAGTCAGTGAGCATGAGCGTAAGCGTGAGGACGAGCGCGAACGCGAGAGCGAGAGGGAGAGGGAGAGGGAGAGGGAGAGGGAGAGGGAGAGGGAGAGGGAGAGGGGGAGGTAGAGGGAGAGTGAGAGTGAGAGTGTGTCCGAAAAGAGCGTGTGTGTGTGTGTGTGTGGGTGTGTGTGCGTGTCTGTGCGTCTGTGTGTCTGCGTGTCTGTGCTTGCATGAAAGAACCCTTCATGCTACCGTCGCCTTTGCTTCTGTTTCTGCCAGTGCTTTTGGCACCAACTCTTGAGGAAATATGTGCTACCATCATTACAGCTCTCATCGCTGTCATAACGACGAAGAAACACTTCGGCCTTCAAGCCGCGAACGCTTCCAGCCGCCTACGTGATCCCCGAACTCCAACGAGCCCGAAATTCCCTAAATTCTGTTACCTGCTTTGCTTCTTCATCCAAGCCAGGCGACGGGCCAGCGCAACTGAGCCGTCTGCCAGACGGGCGGCCACCGCTGTACAGGCGCAGTAGGCCTCTTGGTGGGGACTCTTCTGTCGAAGGCTAAACCCCAAACCCCTTCTGACCTCACAACAAAGCCTAAACCCGATTCCGAACCTGGAGCTGGATGTTTCCAGGCCAACCAAAGCCCTTGCAAAAAAACTCTTGCAAACGCCCCAAGCCCCTTTTGAAACCGGACTTGATGACTGCCAGCATTGCCCCCTCTGCCCCAAACCCCTAAACCCTAAACGCCCAACGGAGGCCCCTGTGGACCTCGTACTGCAACGTCAAGCTCGCCAGCGCCTGAAGCGGCACAGCCGCTGCAGAGGCCACGCCCCGGAGCTCACTCAGGAACCTGGAAGTTTTGCGTTTAGGGCCATTTATACTATTCTATATTACATTATACTACAATAATATATATATATATATATATATATCTATATATATGTAAATATGTTTAGGGGTTCAGACGGTCAGAGTTCAAGGGATTAGAAGTTTAGAGTCATGTAAGGCAGTGTAAGGTTTCAGAAGTTCAGAGTTTATGTAAGGGTTTAGAAGTCTAGAGTTTCGGGTTCAAAGATCGGCAGTGGGAGATCATTCTTTTTTTTTCCCACGCAAAGAAGTCCTTGCGAGGCGTCTCTCGACACACATCTTTGATGTGCGGCTCTTCATATGAGAGCTGAAAAAGGCTGTGCCCTACCACCAGCCGATCCGAAGATCCAAGCACTGGTGGCTGGGTTCGCGAGCTTCATAATTAGTCTGGGCCGAGCATGCTGTATATGTACAAGTAGGCATTGGTATAAATGAGCTTGCGATGCTCTGGCCTGACCTTGATGGCAGCTTTGTTGTCATCATGGAACAACCAACCACTGTTGCGACAGCTAACAGCTCGATAATGTCCTGCATGTCGGCTCTGGCCCAGATGGACTATTATGGCTTGCAGCTGGTAATCCTGCCTCCTTGTGGCAAGTGTCACATTATCCTGAAACACGGGCAGTTGGATCCTGTCTGGACCATGCACAGGAGTTGTGCTCTTTTGCTCGTTTATGCCTAAACCAAACCTAGTGACTTGCAACATGAGGGCAGGAGGCAGTTCGCTCAGCGCGTGCGGCAGAGCCTGAGCGTGCCATGCATCAACTAGCTGCTGCAGGTTGACGCCTCGTCCAGCTGAGGTTTCAGCCAACGGCAAAGAAAGGAACAGTGGCCAGGTAGAACCACTATCTTCAGCCTGAACAGTACCCTCTATGATGCGGGCTTGCCATGTTCCTTGAAATACCCCTGGCAAGAGCACGCCTGCTTCTTCGAGCAAATGGCTGGCAAAATCTGCAGCGTCATGCTGCTCCAATGGCCTAGGCCATGCAGACAGTGCACGTCTCCATGGCAGGGTTTGCCATAGGTTCAATGGGCTCCGGGCTCCGGTTCGCAGGAGCAGAGCTTGCACATCCTTCTGAAGCAGCTGTGCTGGGGTTCGGGCTTGTGCACTTAAGTGGCTGATCACATGCATGATAGCATTAGAGTAGCAAAAGTTGCGAGTGTTTTGTAGCCGCAGGTCCTTCACAGCCGCTCCAGCGCCTTCTCTAGGCTCTGTGCCAAAACTGATCTCCCCAGCTTCTCGTGCCGCAGGCTCCCGCCAATGAGGTGGAGCACACCCGAGTGGCACATCCTCTCTACCACCAGGTAGGCCAGCTGAGCTTCTTGGCTCCTGTTGCTTATTTCCAAGAAAAAGGGGAGTACCTCGCCCTGGATTTCGCCTGTCAGCTTCCTGCCGCATGCAAGCGAAGCACCATTCTGGGGAAAGCCAGCCATTGCTGGAGGTACCTCAGGTCCTGGGCAACATCCTCGGCTGCCCAGTGGTCCCGGTCTGGCTTCGGCTGGTAGGTGCCGGTTTCCGAGTTCCACTGCATGTAGCGAAACTCCTGGTTGGCATCCATGAGGCCCTGCTTCATCGCTTCCGCCTGGGCTTGCTCCGACTTCAGGACCATATCCAGTCGTATTTGGATGGCCTGAATGACGCAGCTGAAGAGGACGGTTCGTAGGGGTGCTCCAGCTTCTCCGGCGTCTTGGTTTTCTGCTCGTGCCAGCTTTGAGCTATCTTGTGGAGGTCGCTCAGTATGGAGAGGGGTTGGGCACTGCGCAAGAACAGGACGAAGGCCGTATCCTGTTTCAGGATCGAGAGTTGATCCTCTTGCCTCAGGCAGATCCGCACCAGCATCTTGGTGATCTCCGTCTGCTGCTGGCCCGAGCTGTTCCGATCGCTGCGATCGTTGCGGTCGTTCCGGCCGCCTCGTTGCCACCATCCACTTCCAGAGGAGCGATTGGACTGGCGCTGGTTTCCCCAATTTCCCCAGTTTCCCCAGTCCTTGTTCTGGTCCTCCTTGTCCTGGTCCTTGTCCTTGTCCTTTCTCTCCCGATTCTGGGACCGGCTTGGTCTCGCCGTGGTAGCCTGCTGGGGCTCCTCCGTCTGTTCGGTCTGTGGAGGTAGTATTCCCATTCTCGTTGCAAGCTCCGTGTCCTGAGGTCGTAGCGGTGTCGGGGACCGTCGGCTCTGGGAAGGCGGGCTTTGCCACCGCCCGGTAGCCGATTGGCTTTCAGGGCTCTCGACTTCTCGTAGTCCTCCTGGTCCAGAAGCTCCTCTGCATCCAGATCCGAGTCCGGTAGGCCTCTTTTGTTGGATTGGGCCGTGTCCATGGGCTCCGGAGTGTCCGCTGTTTCCGCTGGTAGGGCCGCCACGGGTGGCCTGTTGGAGTCGTCCTTCCTCTCCGTGGCCAGCTCGGCGGCTCCCTGCTTCAGCTCTGCAGACGCTGCTGAGGAGGCCATTGGCCTGTGTTTCAAGGTGCAGGTGTTTATGCTGACGCAAAAGCAGGGCGACTCTGAAAAGAACTGGGCAACCGACTGCAGCTCGGGCGTGCGATAAGCCACAATATTGGCAGGGCTTACAGATGCCTCTGCGTTCTTGGAGCCAGGTCTGCAGATATGGGATCAGGGCATGCAGGTCAGTGTGTTGCTGCCTAATGTGATGTAGAACATATTTAGGCTTAGCAACCCACATACCACAGGCAGGGCAATGATTTGACTCGTCAGTGCGCTGCAGTGCTAGTGCCAAGGTTCTCCAGGACGTGGTGGCTTCTCGTGCCAGTTGGGACATGTGCTGATTATCAAGCAAGGGTTGTCTGCTTGACGGAGCGGGAGACTCGGGGGATTCGTGATCTACTGTTAGGGCCGAACCAGCAGCCAGTTTGGGGCAGCTATCCCGATTGATGTGTGACATGAACTCAGGCCAACCATGAAATTCGTGACCACAATGTCTGCAGGTGGGCATGCCATTGAGGCTATGCTGCATATGCTGATTCACCCGTTCCCTCATGGTGTTATGATGGCGTTTCTGTGCAACTTTGGTCCGCTTGCTATGGGTTCTGGTGATGTGGTAGCGGAGCTGCTTTTTAGTACTGTAAACAGCAGAACACTGGGGACAAGGGAATGAGAGGTTGGGCTTGTCCAGGAGGGAATGTGCAGTCATGCTGTTGGACTGCTGCATGCTGGCCAGAATGGTGGCCCACCATTCATGCATTTCTGCAGGATGCTGCAACTCAGCGAATCGCTCCGTGGCCAGCTGTATTCTATGTTCAGCAGCTTTGCGTATGATGTCCAAGGGGGTTCGGGACGTGCGTTACATGAGAGTGATCACCAAGAGCCAAGCGTATCTGCTTCATCTGTGCATTGCAGAATTTCTGCAGACTCAGGGCCGTGAAGCCGACACTTGTCAGGGAGTATCGCAGGGTTGCAAAACAAACCGCAGTGTGCAGATTAAGCCTTTGCTTAGTGGTGAGGGTATTGTTCTTAAGTAGTGCACTGATGCGATGGAAAGCAACCCAGCTTTGCGAAATCCTGCGCTTCAGGTGAGAAGCTCAAAGTTCTTATAGGACAGCACCGCTCCGAGGTAGACATGTTTGTCTACTAGGGGTAGGTCATAGTGATCTCCAGGGCTGAGGGAGATCTTGACTCTTAGGCATCTGCCGCGAGTGGGATGCTTGACTGTGTGCTGCTGTTGCATTTTTGTAGCAGCATAAAGATTGCAGGACAACAGTTTTGGCAGGGCTGATGGTCATGCCATGCTTTTGAAGAATTGCGAGCACGGCAGCAATCTGCCTCGGGATGCGATGGTACTCGGTCTTGCTCGCAAATCGCCACTGCAGCAAAAAGTCGTCTGCAAAGATGGTCTGCAGGGCTTTGGGTGCTTCCAGGGTTGAGGGCCTTAGAGATGCGAATAGAATATAATAATATAATATCCAAAGCAATGGTGCAAGACCACAGCCCTGTCTGATGCCCTGGCCTGGCCGGACCTTGCCCTCGGCTTGTGTAGTTTTAAAAAGGTATCTTGCGTTTTCATGCAGATAGAGCACAAGCTGTATAGTGTTGTGGTCTACGTTGGCTTCAACCAGACAAGCTTGCAATTCCCGCCACGGAATGCTATCAAAGGCCTTTTGTAAATCGAGTGAGAGTGTAAACACCTCCTCTGGCCTCAAGAAGGGCCAGGCCAAGTTTATGCCTTCTCAAGTTGAGGCTGGTGTTCCGTCTATCCTCACGCACTAGTCTGCAGTGACAGAAAGCACGATCTAGTGCATCAGCTGTTTGCCGGTTCTGTGCATAGGCGTATTGTGGAACGTTGGTCAGTGCTCGATTCACTTGAGGCCTGATGTGATTGGCTAGTTGCTGTGCAAGTACCTTAGCAAAAGCAGGTAGTAGAGAGATGGGCCGGAGGGCATCAGGCGATGTAAGGGGCTTGCTGGGTTTCGGTATTAAAGCTACTTGTATCTTGTGCCACTCATCCTCCAGCCTGAGGGTACCCGGTCGCAGGGTGGTTTGCAGCTGTACAAGCATGCAGTTTGCAGCAAGTGGGGCCGCTGCTTTCCACAGGGGAGCAGGAGGCTCAGTGCTGGGCAGTGCCTTGTTAGGCAGGGCAAGGAAAGCAGATTCCAATTGATCCTGATCAAAAGGAATGTGGCCTGTGAGGGCGCGTGCAGAGTCCATGTTGGAGCCCAGCGGTTCAGCATACACCTTCGCAAAGTGCTTGGTGATTTGCTGCATTTCCGCCTCAGCATGCAGTAGCTGTCCTGTGTTATCTCTGAGTTGTAGCCGACGTGATCGACTCTTCGGGGCAAGCCTGTGCAACGCTCGATAAACTGCTGACATGTTGCATCCTCCACGCGCAGAAACCTCCTGCAAGATGCTGTCGACTTTGGCACGTTTTGCTGCTCGACAGGCCCGCCTGAGTTCACGATTGCATTTCTGCACATTCAAGACGTGCCTCCATTGCAGAAGGAGCTGCTGCATTGCACGGGCATGACTGGTCCGCCTTCTGGGTAGACGTTCGGGCGGCCAAATTCTGGGCATGGCCTGTTGCAGGCTACCGTGTTGCTTGCCCGTTTGTCGCAGGGCCCACAGGTGCCGGACCTGCTGCGTAATAGTGATCCTGGAGGAGGCCGACGGATCTTGCAGCGGAAGTGCCGGCTGCTGCTCGGCTGATACCTGTTGCTTGGCACACTGCCACACAGCAAGCATGGAGGATCGGAGATCAGATAGGCTGGCGGCCGTACGCGGCAGAGCAGTTTGGTAGTGCTGTAGGAGTTCTGGCTGAGCTCGTAGATCCTCCTGAACCTGTCGCAGGGTAGGGGTGCTACCCTGGGCCTTGGGCCTGAACTGACGAATGGCGTGCCTGGAGGGAATGAGGGCCACGAGGGGCACATGTACCATACCGGTTGTGGGTACAAAAGGAAGATGGCCGAGGGGTCGCGAGTGCTGGCTTTGTTCTTTGGCCTGCGAGGACCGCATGAGAAAGAAGTCTATCTGGGTGGCTGGCTGAGTTCCTTGCTTGAAGGTAGCAGCAGCGGGGCCCGCTTTGGACCACGTGTTGAGAGCCGTGAGCTGGTGTCGCCTGAGCACGGACTGAAAAAGATGCTGGTCCGTCTGTGCTGATCGCCGTGAGCCTTGTGCAACACCTCTCCCAACGTTGGGACTCTCCTGATGGAGTGGTGCATTAAAGTCACCGCAGATGAGGAGTTGGTTTCGGCTTGGGATGCTCCTGATCCACCCGTCAATGGCGTTCCAGACTTCCAGCCTTTGCTGCAGGAGAAGGCTGAGCTTGGTGCGCCCCTGTACCTGACCTTTGAGATCAACTCTGCCTGGGTTCCAAGCGTGCTGGTAAACAATGAGCAGGTCCAGCGGAGGCCGCTCTTGCAAAGCAACCCGCAGGCGCAGCAACCTACCAGGCAGGAGTTCATGCAGATGCACATCGTCTGCCGCACACAGCCTGGTGCTGAGCAATGCAAGGATTCCGCCTGAGGAGGTTCCAGTGCTTGTGTGGATCGCATGCCAGCCGCGTGGGCCAGATCTGGCCTGATATTCGGAGCTGCTGGCCCAATGGGTTTCACTGAGACATACTATATCCGGGAGCTGTGCTGACGGTTCGGCTTGGAGCCACGCCGTGAGCTCTGCATACCTGGCTTGGTGCAAACCGCCACAGTTCCATTGCAGGACACGAAGTGCAGTGGCCTCTTGCTGTGATGGCAGCTTTGCGGATGCGGTACCTCCTGACTGGGGAGGCTTTGGGCAGGAGCGGTTGACAGTGGTTTTGGGCTGAGGTGTGTACCTCGCCTGAAGTTGCTTGGCCGTGACTTCTTGGCCGCGATATATGGCTGTGCCAAACCTGTGAGCTCGCTTGAGGGCACGCATATAGGATCTCTTCACCGTTCGGCAGAACGGCGAGCCTATGGGTATGAGGGTCGGGCCGTGATGCTTTGCTCCTTCTATGGCTTCTCGTGCAGGTGGAAAGTCTGGAGCTTCAGAGAGGTGCAGGCCTGCAGAGCTCTCAACCCTCACTCCGGACGGAATTGCAGAGGCCGTGCGAAAAACTGCTTGGCAGCACAATACAAGCAACAGCCTTCGCATACCATGGAAAATGTTGCGCCGTCCCCCGGACTTGGGACCGGGCAAGCTGAGATCTGGGTCGCTGTTCCTGTACACTTTAGGGATCCGGGGATTAGGGCACTTAGGGCGGGGAGAGACTAGGGTGTGCAGCTGCAGGGCGAGGCTAAGGACATAACTTAAAAGGGTGATGCTGACATGTGCAAGCAGATGCTCGCCTGCCGATATATGCCACCGGGTGATCGGCCGACCCAAAGGTCCAAGCACTGATCGACACCGGCGGCTACGACTTGATGTCCAACAGCTGTGCCATCGATGAAGACAAGTTTTCCTGCGAAGCATGATGGGTATATAGGGACCTGGGGCAGGGCTATTAACTACCGTCCTGGGCAGCATGGTTGGGGTAGTCTTGGCGCCAGGGATGTCCTCACCTTCGACGAGGTCTTTTGGTGGCCGGTTCTCCTCCAACCGTTCTGGCTGTAGGCACCAGTTGCTGCCATGCTTGTAGCCAGTCTGCCTGCAGGATTTTGGGAGCTTCTCTACATAGTGCAGCTTTGCCCTCACCTCGCAGCTTTCGCGTGATGTGGCCCACGTGGGAGGCAGCACTCTTGCTGCTGACGGTGGGATGCAGCTGTCGGTACTGCCGGCTGTATAGTGAGCCCAGAAGTTGAAGCAAGTCCTCATCTGCACACCTTTTGCCAGCTTGCAGAGGTGTGCATTGTTGCAGAGTGCCGTGACACCGGAGGAAGCCGCATGACCAGCTGATCCAGTAGTTGCCTCTATGTAGTTTTGCCATTGCACCAGTTTTGCTGAGGACAGGTTGGCAGTTGCTAGCTGATCCAGCTTTGCGAGGTCAGGTGCTCGGCAGAGCTGCTCATGCAGTTCCTCGCGCCAGA